AAGCGGTGACTGAACGGCCATCTACGTAGACCAGAAGCGAGTAGAATAGACGGAAGGACAAAGATGGCCACCATTAGATCAGCCATTGCAAGAAATAACATGTACATATTGGTGATGGTTCGCAGTCTTCTGTTTCGATAGAAGGCGAGGCAGAAAAGTGAATTTCCCAGTAGTGACAGGGCCACTGCTTGACTGATGACAACAGTGTGAACGACAACTTCTGGAAAGCTTCTTGAATCCTCATTTTGTTCCATTTTGTTCATTGACTAAAACTCAGTTGAATTGAGGCAGGGAAGTTAGACTTTTTGCTTCAGTTAGGTTTCTGTATGCGTGTCTTGATAATTACACTTTGAAGACGGTTAGACTCTTTGTTTGCAAACTACGGTGGTTAAGCTCTTACCTTTGCCGTCAATTGTGATCCTGAACAAAAAAAAACCAATATAGTTTGTAACCGTTTATACAATAGGTCAAACATTATAAATGATATGAAATATTAATGTCTTTGACAGCTAGTCAGCTGTATAATCAGAATGGAAACTCGAAAATCAATTTTTATTTTGGTTCATCAGTTGATCTGTATTTATTCTGCAGATTGATGTTTACATTTTTCTCGTTTTTCTATCTATGATCAATGTGCGATGTTTCTCATTGTCAACAACATTTATATTGAGTTTCAAACACGTCACCTACCAAATGAATCAAGAGGGAGCCAATCAAATGGCAGATTCTAGCTGTTACGAAACCTTAAACTGCTTCACTGATCAGTTACAATAGTATGGATGACTACCCCTGGTAAGCTTTCTGAGCCTTAGTTTGTTCCATTTTAATTTATTCTTTACCTAGAGCGAAATTTGATCGGGGCAGCGATGTTAGGTTCTATATTCTGCGCTATTATCTCATTTTCGCCCTGGTTAATTTTCCGCACAGACATGAACTGGCATTTTCCCATAACATTTTCGTATCCATGACTGTCGTATTTGTACCCGTGTCTGAATGATTAAAATTTGAATAATTGATTCGATCGGGCATGACTACTTGTTTGCAAAGGGCAGTGGTTAATTACGGAAATTATCCAAGATGACACCTGCGAGATGTAGCTTGCAACTGTAACTTTACAAAATTGGTCAAAAACAGTATATGGTGTTTACCAGAAAAACATTTTATTCTATTTCACTCGATTACAAGACCAAACCTTAAGCGAACCTCACTCTCCGAGGAATGAAAAAAACTTAATACGAACAAAATGCTAAACTATAACTAATATATAGGAAAATGGTCGATCGCAAATGGCACAAAAGCATCACGTAGTGCAAAAAATTCTTATGAACGCCATGATCCCACTGATTAACGCGATTGTCTCCTGTTCACATACTAATTAGCACAATTGTCTCCTGCTCATATGGTGTGAAACAGTAATGTCATTGACAGGTGACAGCCTAAGCACAAAAGGCCAATTTTTTTGGTCATCTGCATGTGTTCTGCTCATTGATGTTTTCCGATTTTCCACATTTTACCACCAACCGTTCTTCTTGATGTACGACTAAGTTACCCTCGTGTCAAAATAGATATAGTTGTATGGTCATGCACCGAACGTATCCTTGGGTTTCACCCACGTGACCAATACCTTAGCAACGGTTACTATCCGCCATCTGGGTGTCCCTCGAGCGTAAACAAACCGTATCTAACGAAGAGTTCATGTGATCAAGTGCGCTCGCTTCAACACCAAAGTATTAAAGTGTGGCGTGATTTTGACGAGCCGTAAGGGACGTTTGTTTACCTTTTTGTACTTCGTCGCACAGATCCTTGTTGTCGCTCTGTTAAAATTCTTAAATATTTCGCGATAATAATGGATACAAACAGAGACTCGGCCCACCAGTCCCAAAACGAAGACAATTTTGCGACCCTTGGGCTAGAGTTCTTAAATGAGGCAGAAAGAGAAAAACAACGCGAAAGAAGACTCGGCA